CAAGATGGTAATCTCATGGTGCCATATCTGGAGAATATGGTGGGTGAGGGAGAACTTCCCAATCCAACTCCATAATCTTGTGTTGCATCAAACGTGCCACATGTAGATGTGCATTGTCGTGAAGAAAAACACCTTTCAGATTGATGAGTGAAGGGCTTGATTTAAATGTTCCAGTTGCTCATTATAGATCTCTTCACTGACAGTTCGCTGTGGATTGAGGAGTTTGAAATGAATTATTCCTTTGATGTCCCACTAAATGCAAGGCATCACTTTCTGAGGATGGAGTCCAGGTTTTCGGGTCATAAGTGGTTTATTTTGTCTAGGACTGAGCCATTGTTTTTGGCATTTAATATTTGCATAGAGAATCCATTTTTCCCCACCGGTGACAATTCTATCCTAAAATGGTTCATGCACATTATGCACCAGAAGAGATGAAGCAACGTTCACACATTGGTCACAATGATCATTGGAGAGTTCATGAGGCACCCAAACACTTTAGGGAGTTTTCCCATATTCCTTAGATGTTTACCATATTGTTTCATGAGAAACATGCAATTTCAGGGCCATTTCATGAGTGTGTTGCCTTGGGTTGAACTCAACAAGTGTCTTCCGAGCATCAATATCAATATCAATTCCAACATGTCAGCCCCCTATCATCACAGTTTTTAAGGTTAAAGTCACCTGAACGAAATTTGCTGAACCATTGTTGACACTTATGAACATTCAAAATATTTCCATAAACTTCTTTGATATTTATTGTGGCTACAGAGTCATTGTTTCTCTTCTTGTATTGAAACAGTATTACATGCCAAATGTGTGTCTTATCATGCACCATCATTATAAGTGATTAGAGTGTACTAAACTTTACACATTATACAGGCTACACTAACGTGATGTTTAGGCAGTTCATTTAACTATTATACTTGATGTACGTTTTTAAGGGGGTGGTTAATGAAAGTATTCCAAAACACGACATTTGAATTTTAACTAATTCACTCACCTTCTTCTCAGGAAAGAAGGAAAAACTCAAAATGCTTTCTTCAATTCTAAAGAAATACTTTCTCCAAGAACTTTTGGTGGAATCTTTGAACCAAAGAAAGTTCTGCACAACTGGCATAGTGTTCCCTGAATGAAGCATATTCTAAGAAATAAAAACTGTATTTTAATTCAGAAAACATGAATACGGTGTTGTTGTTTTTTGTATTTTTGAAAACAAGTACTAATTTGCTGTTAAACCATTTTTCTTATTTATTTATAGTATTTTTCTCTGTTATTCACATGTACACTCAAAACAAAATAGCTAAATCACATTTTAAATTCAAAACTTTAACAAATTAATTCTTATTTGATGACAAGGAACCCACTTTGAGACTAATAATGCTTAGAGATGGCTTGAATGGGTAACGAAAAAAAACTTTAATATAAGTTTAACATAACAGCAAATGTACAAGGTTTTGACAAGGTTTTATCATCATCAGGTTGCTGTTATGTTAAACTTATATTAAAGTTTTTCCTTATTACCCATTCAAGCCATCTCCAAGCAAAATTAATTCTTACTTCACAAAATAATGTCACTCTTTATAAGGAAAACTCATTTTAAATATTTACACTAGTGTGTTATCTTTTCAAGAAATAATAAGTGATAGCCTATCATATCTTATCAGTCTAAATATAAGAACACAATGTCAAGCACAAGAGTAGACTATCAACAAAAATTTCAAATATACAGTCTGCTCAAAAAGATACAAAATGTACCAAACACAGTATAAAATAAACCTAAGAAACACAACACTTTAAAAACTAAAGGACCCAGTAAAAACATAACACTCCAAATAAAAGTATAGTCTGCCATACAAAATATGTCAAATACAAGTAAAACTTATTACACAAAACATTAAATACAAAATAACAAACACAAACACCCAAATGCATGGATAAAATAACATATACAATATTTTAAATTATTATAAGTGTAACACATTAAACAAAATACTTCAAATATTACTCAACTTTGCATAAATCAAGAAACTGAAACCTTCAACAAATTGAAAAAAACTTGCCTAACACTATAATTTTAGTATATATATATGTAAAACTGGACTGAGCAGGTCTCATAACTTTCAAGAAAATGCTTTAATCCTGGGATAAGTATATTATATGCTTAAGGCAATTGCAGATATATATTTCTACATGAGAACATCCACACATCTGAAAAATATTCTCAAGATACAAAAGTTTTTTGGAAAAATATTTATTGCAACCATTCCCAACCTGTTGCTGAGAAAGCAAACTGCTCAGTTCCCCATTGAACTTTTTTTAAATATATTTAATTGAATATTTTGAACTTAAAAGAGAAGATATTGTAATTTGGAGCATTAGAAATAAAGTAGAACCCTAGCTCCAGGAAAAAAAAGAACTACAATATCAAAACAATTGAAACACTAAAAACTTGTCTTGTGTTAAAAAGGAAATACATTAAAAGCTAATGAAAATACTTTATTTAGATACATGTTCAAAAATTATTTAAAACATTTATAACTAACTGTTAAGTTGTATCTTTGGAGATGTTCACAATTTATTTTAGCACAGTATTAGAGTAGATATAAAATTCAATGTTAAGAAGGAATTGACAATAAAACAAGTAATTTTTATTGATAACAATCACAAACTAAGCAGGCCTCTGTTAAAGGACTTTTTTGTTACTCTTTTATCATCCATAAAAGTTATTAAAGATATAGTATCCAAAAGAAATATTCATTTATTCAATACTTGATTTATCAAAAGTTACAAAATTTTCCCTTTAAAACTTTTCTCTTAAAATTTTACCTGAATAGTGATTATCTTGGAAAGAGCTGTGGACTCTGCTAGGCAGTCCTGCTGCGATTCAAAGTCCACTAGTTCCAATGGATAAAAGTTCTGTAATAGTAACATGCACAAATTTTGTAATGAATGATATTTTAGTGTAATAAAAATACATTCCACATCAAATACAATACCCTGCTATAGAAAATTTCAAACTTCTGTTTAAGTAGATTAAGCAAAAATTACTAAGCATGATATTTCACAGTTAGCTATATGTACCGTGTCCACTGCTAGGATCGAACCCCAAATTTTATTGTTACTAGCCTTAAAGCTTACCACTGGGCCACTGTAATGGCTTCATCCTCATAAATTGTTGTAATTTTGGACTGCCTCTAACTTATACAAAATAATGTTGTTTTGTTTTCCTTATCCATAAGCTATTTCTGAATTTTCAAAGATTTGCTGCTTGGATTTTTCATCTTATTTTTTTAAGCAATAAATGAATTTAAAAATTCTAATTAGAATAGATAACCTTAAATTGGTATATTAGTATATTTACTTTTGGCAAAAAGTCAACTAAATAATTAAGAAATCTATTCAATAACAGGAATGCATAGCCTAAAATATGGTCATAATATGGTGTCAATAACATTACATGCCAAAGTATATAGATATATTCAATAATTTACTTTTAACTAACCATAAATACTCCAGTTATATACAATAGATACGTGGAGTTGCAGGAATCTAAAATTAAGCACGTGTCTATATAAGTACATGTGCTGCTGAAACAGGCATTGTACAATAATAACTTTCACTTGTACAAGGCCCATGTAAATATATAATAAATAGGTTTTGAAAAAAATATATATATATATATACCTCTGGGTTCTGGAAAAACTGATATTTGCGGATGTCCTGTCTTAAGATAAACCTCTTGTCTCGAGAGCTAAGATTGCAGGATGCTGTATACATCTGAAGGACCTCTTCATGATCTTCCAAAATTCTCTCTGAGAAGGATTAAAACTTTTGGTTAAAAAAATAAATGAACTGAAAAGAATGAACATGATCAAAGCTGGTCATAAGGCAAGGCAGCTACCTAAGGCCCATTGCTAGTGGGGACATGCATAATTATTTTAAAATGAAGTTGCAAAACCCACAAAGCATACAGTTGATCCATTAACTAACATACCACAACATTCTGTTGTACATTTTCTGTCACAACAAGAAAACTCTGGACTCCTCTAAGTTATGATAAAGAAATGCCGAATAAATTATTCTAGAATATTTTGCTATTATCCACAGGTTTATGTCATACTTTCATACTATGGGAGTGTAAATGCTTTGTATTTATGTACATATTCAACAAACACGTTCGTTAAGGCTTGAAGAATACATGCATTGTTGAATGAAGCCGAATCCACAGCTAGTTCAACACGAAGAAAAACTTGAGTTTTAAGAATAATACAAAATTCGGAGCCGGCAAGAAATAACTATAAACCCGGAAGTCTGTGAAAATAGACTCTCGGTGTATAGACGTATACATGGACCAATGGAGGTTAATCCATAGAACTTACAGCTTTGCCAGTTGGTATAAATGTGAATAACACCAGATGTGGGTCATATTTGTGAATAAAACGACATAGAATGCGTTGCAAGGCGACCTTGAAACCGAATATGATTATCACATGACGTTATTAGGAATTGCAGTGAGTGCGATATCAGATCTCATTCATTCACCCATCCATTTGTAGTTTTATTACAACTACCCAACTTTAACACATGAGCAAAAAAAAAAAGAACATTATGTACTACACGTCACTGAAAATGTGCTTTATTGTATTCTATCTCGCTTGCATATATTAAATATTTGATATGACTTGTATTGATACTTCTGTATTGTTAGGATGAAAGAAAATTTACTGTTTCAAGATCAACTTGCAGCGCCACCTATGCTACTTTTTCATAAATGTGTTCCTATGTGCTTTTATATAACTATATCAATTAGCAAAGCTTTACGTTGTTCACCTACCACCAATACGTTTATAAGCAAACTTGTTTTGTGACAGCTTTGTATATTGAACGTTACTTTGTCAAGTTAATTAATTATCTTCCGCCTCGTATTTCAAAGCATAAAAATGACTCCTAAATAGGTCCAAGGTTTACCGAGTGGCTGAAGTATCGGACTAGAGATTCGCACTCTTGAGTTTAAAATGTGGTGCTATTGAACCACTTTGCACTTTCAGGTGTGAGTGCGTTATAAAAGTAACAGTAAAATCAGATTTTCGGTTAAGAATACCCACTTCATTTGGCGAATGCCGTTGACTGGTTGCCTTTCATCTGGTATATAGTTCAAAATTAGGAGCGGTTATGCCATAACCAAAGGAGTCTCAGAGTCGGCCGTTGAGCTCATTGCATGCATAAGGTGTTATTCAGGTGAACAAACAAAACCCCCACGATTCATTGATATATTTTAAAACTACAGAGTTCAAACATAATAATGAACTTTTAAGTACTTTAATGCGATAATTAAGTGAAATTATTCTGAAGAAGTGATAATAAGGCAAATAAGATTCGACCTCGTGACTCTGCTTGCATGTCAGATATTCGAATCCCGCCTGGTCTTTTGTGTTCACTTTTTCCGATTAAAATCTTACATCGCAGAAAAGCGTGCGACTTAAACTTTCTAGGAATATTTTGAATAACTAAATTAAGTATGTTGAATTTTCTGTACACAAAGTAAACTACAACTTGAAAGTCGTAGAACTTTATCAATCATTTCATTAAGATTCCATATAAACATCTGCTATATTACAGCTTTAATGAAAATTATTATCTGGTTACATTTACCAATTCCAAGGTCCCTGAACTGTTCCACGATTGTCCATGCATGGGAGCGAGCAACACTAAACTTTAGAGTTAGTAAATTGCAAAGGTCAGTTGCCCGCAACCCCTCCTCTACTATAAGTTGGTGATGTCTTCCATCTTCAAGATAAAAATAGAGCGCCGCCTGATATGAAATAGAATAAATACAAATATAAGGAATATATTTTAATAAAGAAATATATATTTAAGAACATGTTTATATACACACGCAAGATGAGATCTACATGAAAGGATAACTATTATTCATGATTGTTCTTAAGTAGCTTATAGAATATCAAAATTATTTAGCTCAGCAATTATGATCCTGACTTTAAAAATAGTTTACAGCAGCCCTAACATAGCAGTGTAAAATAATATGTTTTTTCAAGCAGCAAGGAGGTCTCTATAAATTTTTAGTATAGGAAAAGTGTAAGTAAATACAGAAAGAATGAGTGGGTTGTCCTTTGTTATTATTTAGATCTGTTGCCTTATTTGGAAAAAGCGAGGGAAAATAAAAACATAAACAAGACTATTGTTTAGAAATGATTTATCAATCGAGCCAAACTAGTCAGAAAGAAGAGAAGAAAGATTAGTGTAGGTACCATAGGAAATTCTGCCCCTTGCTTATCATATAGACTAGAATGACTTCAGTGTAGTTTATTAAAAGTGTAAAAAAATTCAATAAAAAAATTAGGAAGTAGGAATGAGAGCATCAAAAAGCAAGGAAACAAGGTAGAAATGAGCGGGATAACATTACAACATTTAGTGGTTTTTGACATGGTGCAAATCGGTGCAACCACGAAGTGAATGTGGTCATAGTTCCACCCATTCCTACTTCATGTGTTTTTTGTAACTTGGTAATTGTTCAAACTAAATGAAAGGCGTATATAGCTATATCTCTCTACTGTAAACTTTGTTTCAGCAACCAAGTACAGATAGATATCTGTAATTAAATTACGTGACCCTAATTAAATGCATGACATCATAAGGGTGTTTGATATCGGATGTGAGACAGGAAGCTCCAATAATCATACTTTGCTTATGGGAGGCATTATAGCTGTCTGACTGGTAAGGGGTAAGCCAAAATAATAGTATTAAAACTTCTGATTTCTGAAATTTTCAAATTTGTTGAGTATTTAGAAAATATTAGCGCTACTGATAAAATGCATTTCAAATCTATAATTGGATCAAAGTTTAAAGTAAGACACAAAGTAGGAATGGGCGGAACAATGGCCACATCCACTTTGAGGTTGCACCGTGTCCAAAACCACTAAGTGTTGTAATGTTATCCCGCCTATTCCTACCTCGTTTCCTTAATTTTTGGTGCTCGCATTCCTACTTCCTAATTGTTTTATTTAAACTTTTGGTACTAAATCTCGAGAGTGACTGGGCTCTAGGTCTATCCTTCTCGTAGCTATCTTTCGACATTTCCTAGCTGTAGCTGGTATCTTTGCTATTGTTTTTCTTCCATCTAGCCAGAATGGTAGTCTTTTCTTTGTCTGAATTAATGTCTAAGGCTTCTTTCGCATATTCAGCATTACTGTTTCTAACCTTGTCTATATTCTTGTAGTAATGCTCTCTTCACTGGGAAAAAAACTTTTCTAGGTTATCTAGGTTTTGTTTAGATGCTGTTTGCAGTGTGTTTGAGATTTTAATTTGTATTGCACATATTGCAAATCTGGCCCATTCCTACTATAAGTACTACCGTGTTTATGATAATGAGAACACTAGTGGATACATACCTCTTTCACAGAAGTTTGGCCAGTTTTGTTACCATTAACAGGTAGTAACGGATAATGGTACCCTGTGTCCATTAACAAATCGTATTCTTCTTTCTGGGAATCTTTGCCTCTGCATAAAAAAAAAGGAATTGATACCTGTTGAATCCAAATTTAAAATAGAAGTTTAAACTTTACAATTCAGAATTAAAAACATGAATAATATTGATAAATCTAAATTTTACGTTAATCAGTTATGTTTGTTTGTTTCAGAATTTTATTCCAAAGCTGCGCCAGGGCTGTCCCCACATAGCCGTCCCCGATTTTGACTAAAGGCAGCTAATAAATAGCACCCATCGTCAACTGATGGGTCACTCTTATCTGACCGAATAGTGGGATTTGACTAAAAAAATTAATTGTAATTGTAATAAATTATTAAATGTGTGTAGGTGGGCGTTTGCTTCTATTTAAAAGTTTTAGAATTGTAGAAGTTGAAACACAATAACTATGCAATATGTCTTTCTCCTCTGGTGATTTATAATAATGTTACGACAGTGGAAGTCACGTGACGCTAGTAACACGTCATGAACTTCTAGAACGTTCACGTCCCTTCCTGAAGTCTCGAGAGGCTACTAGATATGCGGTAGTATTGTATATATAAGCCGCCAAGAATTGACGGCATGAATGCGTAATTGAACTGCGGACAGAGAGAGACGTATTGTTGAGTCGATCACGTGAGACGTTCGTTGTGAATTATAGCGTTTCTTATAGCGCGACTGTGGAAATTAAGTGTATTTCAAAGTTGTATTCAGAGAGAATAAACCAGTTTTATTTAAGAAAGGACTTGTATCGCAAAAGTTTCTTCGGAAAGAATTTTTACGGAAAATTAACTAACGAACGGAGGCGTAACAATAATAAATGAACCTTTAAGTGGCATTGAACTGAAAACTACATGGTCACATTTTACAGAGTAGCAGAAATATAATTTATAAGCCTTTAGATTATTGAAATACACAGACATATAATAATCCACGGAAGTTGGCAAAAATAATCTCAAAACAGGTTGTTCAAAACCATTTTTCTAATTTTTTTACACCAGTTATCTTGTGACAACTAATTTTATTTCTAGTTCAGGTTTCTTATCTTTTACAAAACTGTTACAATGTAAAATTCAAAACGTCAACAATAAGTAACCCATGGTGACAGACCATTACAGTCTCTTACACTAAGATGGCAACTCAATACCTTACAGATTGTATCGTCTTTGCCTACGGGTTAAAAGTAATTTTCCCTAACAAATGTGAAAATTATAGTTAACATAAAACAGATAAACAAAACACGTTCTCAGCATAATCAATAATTTGTATATGAAAATTTCCCCAATGTGTTGTACTATCACAATGAGGCTTAAAAATTGTGTTGCGTCATCGAGGTCACGTGACTGGTGTGGCGCCACCTATTTTCTAGAACTATCCTGTACCTTGGCGAATG